TCGTTTTAACCTTTATAAATAGAGTCTATGATTTTAACTTGGAGGCTACTATTAGCATCGTTAGCAACGATGTAGCTACCACTCGCTTACACGCTAACCCAAGCCGCAACATTCATTACGTAGCTGATTAAAATCATTAACACATAAATAAGTACTCGAATTTCACTTACCGCAAAACCGCATTCATGCACCGTCTGTTTCAACTGCAGAGCGAGTCACAATAGTCCGATATATAAGCATGAAGAACAAACAAACACGGCCGGGGGCAAGTTGTGTTCCCTGGATGAGCTGAACAGGCAGAGTGCCTTTAGCTTCACAGAGCAGCTAGCAGAGAGACAAGAAGCTAACAGCAGCAGTCACTTCACAGAGCCGTCACTCAATGTGACCACGCCCTAATTTATGCAAAAACTTTAAGATAAATAAAAGGGTCGTGTTAGAAAACAATTCACTCACAGATCCATAATCATGAAGGTGGAATCCAACTATATTCATAATAATATTTATTGCATCCATGGGTAGAAACATGTTTTTTTCTGCTGTAAAGTTGGGCATTTTAACATGGGGGTCTATGGAAATTGCTCCTTTCTGCAGTCAGTCCCTATCGGCCAATATATGAACTGCAGTGTGTGCCACTTCCGTATTGGCGTCCCGGCTCTTCCACAGACTTTGCCGCTTGGTTGAAACTTGCTGGCGGGCGTGTCTGAAACTCGACCACTTCAATCACATGAATCTCCTGCCCCTGACACACAAGCAGCGGTTTGATTGGCTAGAGCTTGTAATGGCATATGATTCAATTGGCTGAATCTTCTGCCGAGGCTTCAAAAGTTGAACATTGCTCAACTTTTGCAGCGAGCCACGCCAGCAAAGCTCCGCGTCGCTTCCCACAATGCAGTTCATTCAAAGTGAATGGTGAAGCTTTCAACGCACGCCACTGTGTAGACGGGCCGTACAAATATCTCCCATAGGTCACTTTGTTGACTAGCTACAAAATATAGCTCATTAAGCTTCTGACACATTTTGTAAAGGCGCTGTGAACCTCTCTACCTCTCAATTTCAGTCTCAGAACTTCACATTGTTTACAAAACATTTTTTCCAGTGTTTTATATTAACTCCAGTTTATGTGTGTTTATAGGCCTGCAGAGGGCCAGGGCTCCAGCTCCTTACCGCAGAGACTTTGAGGCCAAACTAAGAAACTTTTACAGGAAATTAGAGGCCAAGGGCTACGGGCAGGGACCAGGCAAAATCAAGTAAGACTCAAATTTCACATTATGAATAAATTAAATGCACCTTAAAATAAAGTGAAAGGTCCAAAGCCGTTATATTATATTATGCAATAAGATTGTCACAGTTACAGTTCAGACACAGCTCACACTAGATTGTTATAGTAGGGTCCCAAATATATGTCAATTGATCTGAATCATCCTAACTATAATATTTAATATAAAGTCTAACTACATATTTAAGGATATTTAAACAGCTACCACTGTTTCAGGAATACATTGATAAATACATATATATAATAGTTAACCAATTAACTAATTCGTCACCAATAGCACCACCAGAATTGTACTCCTTCCCTTGTTTAAGACAGTTTGAAACTAATTTTAGACCTACAATTAGGGAAATACAACGTACAAAAACTGAACAGTTAATAAGAAAAAAAAGAAAAACTCCAAATTCAGATTTTCAAATGTAAAAGTACCAGTTATCTGTAAGCTTTCCTGCTTGTTGTAGGTTGCTGATCAGGAGAGAACACTTGCTGGAGGGAACCTTTAACCAGGTGATGGCATACTCCCGCAAAGAGCTGCAGAGAAACAAACTCTACGTTACTTTCCTCGGAGAGGAGGGGTGAGCAACACAAACAACATATAATTGACCAATGAAATAACACAGCTGAATGTGCTACAGGACATCATTGTAGGCTGTTCTTTTAAGCTTTTGAAGCACAGAGCTTTGTGATTTATATTGCCAACATGTTGGTTTTTAGTACTGTTTAAAATATCTTTAAAGCTGCACTTTTAAAATTGTATATATTAACACTGGACCCCATAATTGTTTTTCTCACAAAGGGTTTATTCTTTTGGTTTTATTGCCAAAACAGCAGCCAATTCCACTCAACCTCATTTCCAGAAGCAGCTGGCCATTTTTTTTTTCAAGCCCAGCACTCAGCAGAACACAAAGTTATAGTCTACCTAGTAAAAATGTTGGAGAACTTTGCAAATTAATGGCCAAAGTGAATATTGGAAAACATATCTCACATCTTTAAACTTTGTATAATCAGTTTATTTGTCAAAAAAATTATTCAACTGTATTTTGTCTTTTTTCTTTGATGACGATAATTTAACCCGATTTTTATTAAATATATGTTACGGGGGAAATAAAAAAAATGTTCTATCATATTAACAGTTAAGTGTGTAAAGATGTTTTTTGTCTCTTGTTCTCTTTTCAGATTGGACTACAGTGGTCCGTCCAGAGAGTTTTTCTTCCTATTGTCTCAGGAGTTGTTTAATCCATACTACGGTCTTTTTGAATACTCAGCTAACGATACTTACACCGTTCAAATCAGCCCCATGTCAGCATTTGTTGAAAACCATCTGGAATGGTAAGCTGTGCAATAGGAACAAACAAACAAACAAACAAACATACAGAGACACGGGGTGAATCAGTGTTTTGTTAAATATACTTTAACTCAACTCCAATTTGTCAGTTGGTACAGTTTTTTTTACTATAATTGTACTATTTCACTTTTCTTTATAGCTGTTTGCACTCTATTTAAGAAATAACGTTTACACTACTGGTTGATTCAAGTTTTTCCCTGAAAATGACTATCTGTGAGATCATACTTTTGTTGGCTATTCAATCAGTCCATAACATTTTTTTTTATTGTAAAGACTGTTGTATTGTGACCAGCTCCCTTGTCCGTTTCATATTCCATTTGCACAGTGAATACGTATCTTGCACATTACTGTATTACCCTTTTAAAACAAATACAAATTAATAGGGAAAAAGAAAGGTAAACATTTAGCCTAGGGTTCAACAAAGCCTTGGTACCTCCCATGCTGCCCCAAAGCCTCCTGATTTATTTCAACTGATTTTATGGTTATAGAAAGGAAAAAGCCCTGTCAGTGATTATTTAATCACCACCTGAGTCAGGGCGCTGTGTGACACTGTGATCTTGAAAGATAGTGAACAAAATGCAAAGTGCAGTGTTATAGCATAGTATAGTATAGTAGTCTGTGTTGTCCACAGATGAAATTGGTTGAGCTCAAGGTGGTTGGATTTTGGATTGCTCCAGATTGCATTCAGACGTATTTTTTCTTTGTCCCACAAATGAAATTAGTAAAAAAAATGTGTAGCAGGACACATACTGGCAGGCAGGCGCATCACTTAGTGGGAAAGTGATCATCATGCCACATTATTAAATAGTGAATAGCAGAAAAAAAGGTTAATGTGTCTTCTGGGTGAAGTATTGCACTTACCTGTATTGCCATGGGGCTAGTAGCAACAAGGATGGAGGTTTAAGCACTTCCCAACTACTGCCAGTTCCCACCACCGCTATCTCACTGCAAAAAAACAGTGTTAGAAATAGCAAGCCAGCAGGAATGAAGTGCCCTCCTCTCTGTTTGAGATTAATAAGGAGGTGCATCAATGCAGGTGCTCCTCCTGTTCCTTCAATTCAACCCAGCCTTGCACAGGTGGTCTGCATCCTTTGTAAGGACTTTCGAACATGCAGGTTAGGGAACTTGTTGCCTGTGAGTATCTGTTAGGAAGTAGTCAAGCAAGAACTACAGGCGCAGCCTTGGTATTCTCCTAGTCTTTCTGTATCCTTGTGGCTGTCTCAGTCCCATCTCTAGCAATTGGATTGAAACTGCATTAGGTTTGAACCAGTTGCATCAAAGTTGTTAAATCAGGCAATGAAAAGTCGCTGCTGTGCATAGGATGTCTCAGATAGCCATTCTAATTGTATCTAATTGTATCAACGTGGGAAAGAACATTTTTACACCGTCGGACACTGGAGGGAAAATGCCATGTGATTTACTAATCTAAATGAATAGCATTTTCAATATTGACACTATAATTTACATTGTGTTCAATCTGAATTTACTTTAAAATAAAAAAAATCTATATTGATTCTGACTTTTCTACATCCAACTCACAGGTTTATCA